AGGGTTATGTTGCAGGAAACTTGAGGAAGAGAGAATCTCTGAGTCCTAAAAGGTAAGTTACATTTGTTCAAGTAGAGTGGGAAGGGAGGGCATTCCAAACATTGACAGAGACAAGATTTGGAGGCAAAGGAGGTGATGAAATGTCTTAGAATTTTGCCACAACTCACAGGACCACCCCCTGCTCTAACCCCACCTCGGGCTCCAACATTTCTCTAATGTTGAAATTATGGAACAAGAGCTCTAGAAGGCCCCTCAGAGGTGATCCTTTTTGAGCTAGCCCACCAGTCATTTTGTTGATGAAGCACCCAAGGTCCAGAGAGGTTAAGTAATCTGGTCAAGGTCACACAGGTAGTGAACAGCTGATATAGATGTAGCACACCTGGCCTGAACTTCTAAGTCTAGGATTTATAACTCTACATACCCCCAACTGGTTCCTGGGTGAGATGACCTTATGGAGCACCTAGGGTCAGGGTGGTTCCTAAAGGAGAGTTTGTAGGGCAGGGATGACCTTATGGAGCATCTAGGGTCAGGATGGTTCTTAAAGGAGAGTTTGTAGGGCAGGAGCAGGCAATCTCATCTTGACCTTGGTGATGCTGTTGGGGAGAAAGAAGAGAGAATATGGGCTGCCTGAACTGTATGAATCTCTATAGTATTGTTAAAAGTAAACTTTAAAAGGAAGGGAATGTTCACCTGTAGTCTTACTGCAGAAACAACTATTATTAACATTTTTGGACTATTTCTTTCTCATCCTTTTCCTATGTATGATTTGGTTTGTCTTCCACCAATTTCACATAGGTGTGGTTGTACTAAGCATCATATAACTTTATGTCTTAGGGGGAAAAAACTGCATGTATTGTACAAATACATAATGCATTCCCATTTCAGAAAATCTGGCAAATGTTCAAATGTTCATGAGTTCAACAGATGTTTTCAGAGTCCCTGCCAGGTGGCTGGTACTGAGCTGGGTGGTGGAAGTCACCCATTCAACTACCCAGGAATAGCCACTGTAAATATTCTTTTAGTCTTTAAAAACAAAAATAAACAAACAAAAAAACTCTTTCGAATATGTCAAAAGGGCATGTTGGGTATATGTGCATTGGTGTGTGTATTGTTTTAAACCTGCCTTTATCCCTTAATATTGTATCATTCTAGCTAGTATAAATCACTTATAAACACCATTTTAATGGATATATAAAACTCTATCAAATATAATAGTTTATTTAAGTGTTCTCCATTTATGAAAGATTCCAGTTCTTTTCAGTTTTATGTATTACAGATAGCAGTGTGATAAACACACTGATGTATTTTAGACTGTTTCTTTAACATAGATTCCCAGAACTGAACATCTGAACATTTTAAATACTATTGATGTATACCCTGTTCTTAAAAATTACTTAGTTTTACCACATGCCATTCCACAATGGACTTAAGGTAACTTTCAGAAATACACATTATGCTAAGTGAAATAAGCCAAGCACAGAGAGACCAATGCCATATGGTCTCACTTATATATGGAATCTAAAAAAGTCGAACTCATAGAAGTGGAGAGTAAAATAGTAGTTACCAGAGACTGGTGGACAGGGAAAGGGGAGGTATTTGTCAAAGAGTACAAAGCTTCCAGTAGATAGGAATAATAAATTCTGGATCTTTTGCACGCAGGATGACTATAGGTAATGATAATGTAGTCTATATTTTTAAACAGCCAAAATAGAGACAATTTTAAATTTTATTTATTTTATTTTAAAGATGTGGAGTACATTTCAGGATTAGGTCTACAAGTGGTCATTGTACAGATAAAGTTTGGGCCTTCCTTTGGTCCCCACTTTGCCTGATTTGAGATCAGGTGCCCTTATTAATGTTATGTGCCCCCCCTCGCTCCCCTGCCAGTTTCTGGCTACTGCCATTCCCTTAAAAGAGAAGATTTTAAATGTTCTGATTATAAAGAAATGATACCCGTTTGAGGTGATAGATATGTTAATTAGCCTGATTTGATCATTCTACAATGCATACATGTTTCAAAACACCACACTGCCTTATAAATATATACAATTATTATTTGTCAATTAAAAATAAAAAATAATTAAAAAACAAAAGTGTATATTCAAAAGAAAAACAAAAATTCATATAAAAAATAAAATAGTTGAGAGTGACAATACAAAGAAAATAAGGATAGAAAAGTAATAAAACTCAAGACAAGATGAACATAGTAATGTACAGTAAGAGTCCCCTGCAGTTTCTCATATTTGACTGGAAGCTTCCAGCTGTCAAATCGTAGAGGGAAATAGCAGCTCTAAGATTGACAGTTACCAAAATACACAAATAAACCACATGTTCAGAAGCAGCTGAATTGTTCTGAGATACATGTGATTAACTCATGAGCAAAACTCCATCTCCCCACCAACAGTCCCCTGACTTACTCCCCAGCTGCCCACCAGGGTGTCACCTCAAGCCACCTTCCCCCTTGACCGAAAAAAAAAAAAAGACCCAAGTGAAATTCACTGGACTTACTGCCTAAGTGGCCTCTCGCCTCTGCAGGGCATATGTTCCCATAAGTTTTAGTCCTTGTTGTATTCCAGAAAGGACAGAACTGTCTGGCTGTGAGTATAACTTGCATTCAGTCAGTTTGGAGGATGTCAGCACCAAATCTCTCAGCCTCTGTGTATACCAAATGATGATATTTTAGCCCCCTCCTGCCCCCAGTTATTTATTTATATATGGGGAAAGGAAAACTTTTGAAAATAAAAATGTTTTTCTACGAACAATTCTGCATTTCTGAAACATTTTATTCGGAAGATTGCCTTCGAATTAGTGGACAATGGAGTCCTGACAGTGAAGGGTTTTGAAATAAATGTTCTCAATCCTCCTGTTCCTATTGGATCAGTATCTGCCTGAGGCAGTGGTCCTGTGGGACCTGGGCTTTGGTGTCCAGGAGATGGAGAAAGGGAGTCTGCTTTGAAAACCAGGCCTCTAGGGCCCCACGGCCTTAGGAAGTTGGGATGAGGCAGGAGTAAAGGCCCTTCTCTGAAGTCCAAGCTTCTTCTCATTTCCAGGTACAGGAGTTCATGTTTTTCCTGAACTTCTATTTCAACCTAGCTCTGAAAGGCCCAGCAAGTGTCATAATGCACACTCGCAGTGTGATTGTACTGAGCATCACACGACTTTATGTCTTAGGGAAAAAACTGCATTTATTGTACAGATACATAATGGGTTCCAATTTCAGAAAATCTGGCAGATGTTGGAGCTATATTTTCTCTTAGTGGAGGCCAAGTCATTAGGCCCAAGCGTGGTCCCTGGAATTCTCACCTTTGCTGCTTCTCTGGTTGAGAGTGCTTGAGGTTAAGAGGCAGTGTGGTTGTATGCTTGGGAATTTAGGAGAACTTACCTCCTTTCATTGGTTGTTCTCAACTATCACAAGGACATAAGTCTCATTCTGACTGCTCCCACCACCGCCCCTTCCTGAGTGAGAAACCCAAGGTCCTCTTTGTCCACTCCTTTATTCGGAGTTTACATATAGCACCCTCCCTGATCTGACCCACAGGTTATAAGTCTCCTGCTGCAACTGTTTCTCCGTCCTCCATTACCTCCAGGACCGGGGCAAACTGAGCCCTGTAGTACCTGACCTAGCAGTCAGACCTTTCTCAACCTTGCCAGCCTTTCTTCTCTCGATCTTCTCTGGGGACTTCAGGCATTGGCCTTGGGACCCCAGTCCACACAGGCACTCTCTCACACACTTAGGTCCTTGCTCATCACACCTCTTACAGATCCATTCTCTCCCCCTTTTCCTCCAAAGCCCAATTGTATTGTCACCTCTGTGTGTTCCCCACCCTCCACTATGCAGATCCCCTGCACTGACTGTTCTTTCTTCCCATAGGACCATGACATGCCTGTATCTTACATAACCTGGGCCGTGTGGACATGTGCTTGTCTGTCTCTCACATTTAGACTGTGAGTCCTTCCAGAGTAGGTACCGCCTCTTACTACTCCCAGAGCAAGAGGTATATGACAAGTGTGTGCTGACTAAATCTGTTACTACTCATTGTGCAGCTCAGCTTCAGGCCATGGTGACCTTCAGGGGTAGTGAGATGGACTACTTCTGTTGCTTTGCCAGGAACAACTGTTCGACTTCTGTCTCTTATTTTATGAGCGAGGGTCTTTTCCTATTGCACTGCTGTCACAGCCCTTGGATAGTCTCTGCTGTGGCTCATCTCTCCCCAAAGGCCCAAAGAGCTGCCCAACTGATGGGGAGGGAGGGGCATACCTCGTCAACAAGGGTACCTGCATAATCAACATTTGTATACCTAACCCTGAATTGTAAAAAAGGAAAGGATTTGGAAGAACGTTATGCTCTGTGTTTCTCTCATTGTCTTAGAGGCCTGTCCTCATCCCAAATAACTGTTTTTAGCCCAGATATAGAGGGAAGTCACTGGTGTCTTGATGGGCATGGAGCACCCACCCAGAAGCTGTCTAATTTTACAGGCCTGTGCCACAGTGCCAGCTTTCAGGTTGCCAGATCTCAACTCGACACCTTGTGCCTGTCAACAGCCTGGCTGATGGCTCAGCCTGAGGCCAGAAAACCTTTTTCTCAAGGTTAAAAGTAGCTGACCTTTGACAAGCAGCATTGGCTAAATTCCTTGCTCCTTAAAAGGAAAGCTTCCAGTTATCATTTGCTTATTTGGCCACGGGCAGGAGCAGGCCTTCTGTCACACCCTGTGTACCGGCAGGAGGGTTTGTGGCTGGAGGTGCATTGGCGAACAGTCATTTTTAAAATAGCCATCTTTGAAAATGTGTGCTGGAGAGGAGCACATCCAATCTGTCAGCTGGTTTGCACCCCAGCCCATGTGGCTGGGACAGCTCATTGACTCTCTGGCTCCCTCATAGGCGACAGTGCCACCCACCCCCACACACAGCACACTCCTTAACGTGTGTGCAGCAAGAAAGCTGACAGAGTGACAAGGACATACACCAACTATTAAATGTCTGGGCTTGTGTTTTTAATGTAGGGGTGACATTCCAAAGATTGACTTGGCGGGCAGTTCACTATCCAGCATCTTGGACAAGGATCTCTCGGACCGCAGCAATGACATCGGTGAGTAAGGACGGTGTTCTTGCTTCTCTTTGCAGGGTTAGAAAAGAACTGCAAAACCTGGATTGCCTCTTCAAGCAGAGCAATGAGAACTAAGGAAACTATTCAAATGCAAGGCTGACAGCCCTCGCTTTGCATTAGATGATGCAGCTTTGTAAAGAAGGGGAGTGATGGTGCTTCCCAGGTTAAAACAGAATGCCTGGAACTTTTACCCTCTCTGGCCTTAGGAGAAATTCTTTGCATGGTCTAATGAAAAGAAAGGATGAGTAAGCCTTTTTGTAAAAGTGGGCATTAGCCCTTATTTTCATATTTTCCAATAATATGTGTGTTTAGTATAAAAAGGTGAATGGGTACAAATGCAGAATGGCAGGGTTCATCGTAGATACAGCAGTAGAAGTGTTTTGACTTCGAGTTGAAAATGAGCTTTGGTGTGGTAATTGCCACTTAGTTCAGAACACGAGTGAGTTTCCCAAGGTCAGGATACCACCATGTGATAACCGGGAAGGAGCTGAAGTTTCTCTGGGTAAACAAAAGTCAGAGGTCCTTTTGGGTGGGTGGGTGGGTGTGAGGCCAATGTGCTGTTAAGGCCACTGGCGGTCTGACCTGGTTGACAGCCCTTTTAAGAAGTCCAGATTCAGAGACTAAATTGTTTATTTAGCTTTATATCTTTTATTTGTACCTGTTGGGGTCATAAGTTAACATTCTCTCATATTCTGTGTAATATAGAAGGCCACATTTCAGAATTTACCTTGTTTTAATTAAACTTTTAATTTTGAAGTCATTGTAGATTCACATGCATTTGTAAGAAAGAATATGAAGAGATACATGTGCCCTTTACTTGGTCTCCCCAATGGTGACATCTTACAGGACCATAGTACAAATCACAACCAGAATGTTGACATTGATACAAACCAGCAATCTTACTCAGTTTTACTAGTAGTTGTGTGTGTGTAATCTTATCACACATGTAGGTTTGTGTGTCTTTCACAGTCAAGAGAGAAAACATTTTCATCACCACTAGGATCCCTTATGTTGCTCCTTTATAACCACGCCCACCTCCCTCTTGCCCACCCACTTCCCTAACCTCTGGCAGCCACTAGGAGAGATTGATTTGACTTGGAAGTTAGATTTTCAGCATCATCTGCTTTGGCCTCTCACTTTAGAAACAAATGCGTGACAGTTGGCAGGCCTTATAGGAGTGCTAGAGCCAGTGACAATGAATGCTCTCCTCGCCTGCTGTTACTGTTACTTCTTGGTGTGGGTGCTGTTTTCTTCTGGGACTTGCTAATAGAGTTGCATCTTTGCAACTGCTGAACTGCAGTCTCTGGTCTGATCTTGGGAAGCCTTGGGGGTAGGATGTGTGGTTGCGGCTGTAAATGCCAAAAGTACTTGCCCTGTTTCCAGAAGCTGATTTATATCCTCAGTCAGCCTTTGAGAAGCCCTGTCAGGCAGCATAACCCGACAGCTTGGACTGATGCAATAATAACAGAAACTCTGGCCTACTGTATGTAACTTTTGATCTGGTTAAAGGGCAAGGAAGAGCAGAGCCGTGATCGGCTGTGCATGAAAAGGAATCATCAGAGTGAACTGATTAAATTCTGGTTCTAGCACTGGTTTAATATTTGTGCCCTGTTTTAAGCCAGGGTGACTGGTTAAGTGAAGGCCATGCGGGACCTCACACAGGAAAGGATATGCTCTCCCTCTTCCAGAATACACAGGACCATAAAGAGCATTGACCTTTGACCCTTAATTACTTTGGGTCTGGAGATGTCTGAGGTGGCTATCACCAAAATATGAATCGCATGTTTCTCAGTCGGACAAGCTAGTTTGGAAATGTTGGCAGTACTGATGAGGGCAGGACAGGGTTAGTCTATAGAAGCTTTTCTTTTCTTTTCTTTTCTTTTCTTTTTGAGTCGGAATCTCACTCTGTCACCCAGGCTAGAGTGCAGTGGCATGCTTACAGCCACCGCAGCCTCAACCTGCTGGGCTCAGGCAATCCTTCCACCTCAGCCTTCCAAGTAGCTGGAACTACAGGCACACACCACCATGCCTGGCTAATTTTTTTATTTATTGTAGAGATGAGGTTTCACCAAGTTGCCCAGGCTAGTCTCAAACCCATGGGCTCAGGCAGTCCTCTCACCTCAGCCTCCCAAAGTGCTGGGATTATAGTCGTGAGCCACAGCACCCAGCCTATAGAAACTTTTCATACTGTGAAAACTAAGCACCAGTTGTATGTATTTGGGAGCCCACAAAGACAACGCTGAAGTTTGGTTCTCTCTCACTTTGCCACGAGGACATGAAGACTAAAACTTCTTGTTAGTAATTTAATGGATATATTAATTGCATTGTAAGAAATTATGATTGGCAGCCACATGATCAACCAATAAATACTTGAGTATCTACTAGTCAAATGCAAGGCTGCCGTATACTGACACCCTCACACACAGGCCTTACCTTTCAGGGACTGTGGATCTGTTTGGGTCCCTAAGATGGCAAAAGAAAAGTAAGATATCACTGGAGGTCTGTATAAATGATGACTGAGTGGTAGAAAGTAATGCTGATCAAAGGAAAGGTTTCTCCCTGGGACTCAGGGTGTTGGGACAGGCTCTATGAAGGGAGACAGACTTACCTGTTCCTTGACATTGGATTTGTTTAGGAGGGTAGTGGAGGTGGGCAGGGAAACTACATAGGGAGTGTTGGGCAGCTTGGTTGCAGTAGAGGGGTTGTGTTGGAAAGGAAGGGAGTTAACCTGGAAATATAAGTAGGGACTGGATTGAGTTTGAGGGAAATGAATTTGTAATTTATTCTGTAGGCAGTGGAAACCATTGATAGCTGACACCAAAGTGACATGACCAGGTTCGAAAGTTCAGATAACTGATAGTGTTTTGCAAGCCCAACCAGATGAAGAACAATGGGTGTCAAGGAGTCAGGTGATTTGATAGTTGGGATGAAAGGTAGAGAGAGCCGGAATGAAGCAGCTCATGGAAGGATCAGGAAAGAAGGGATGGATGTGGATGCAAGAATACAGGAGAGTGGTTGCCTGGCTTTAGCAACAGATTGGATTTGGAAGCCATAAGGAGGAGAGAATGATTTATTCATTGTGACGTTTTAGGGTCAGGTGGTGGGAACAAATGGCATGGGTAGAAATAAGCACGTCAGGAGGAAGAGCTGGTTTGGGGGAAAACACAATGCATTTAGTTAAGTGTGTTGGCTATACGATTGGGCCAGATATGCCCATGTTAGTGCTGAATGGAGGCAGAAGGTGGAGGGTAGAGGCTCAAGAGATTGGCGGAGATTGAAGGTAGGGTTAGGAGCTTTCTGGTGGTGAGAGAGGCGAAGGCAGGAGTGACCTCTGCAGACTTGAGTTGGAGTACTGAATCTGCAGGTTCTTAGCTGGGTGGCCTTTCATGATTTATACAGACTCTCCGAGCTTCAGCTTCTTTATCTCTAAAGAATACTGACGTCTCTATCTACTTCCTCACCTTGTCTTTCAGAATCATGTCAAATCACTTGGTAGGCTGTAAAAAGATTGAAATGCTTATTATTAATGTTGTTTGCTTAGAAGTAATAATTGGGCCAGGAAGATAAAGTCCTTACCATGAGAAAAGGCAAAGAAGAACCTAGGGCTGAAGACCAGACCCCACAAAGTCCATATTTAAGGGAAAAGCACGATCTTGCAACATCAGAGAGGCCAAGGGAGGAGAAGATTTTAAGCAGAGTGTCTTTAGACCCAAAGGCAGAAATGTTCTTTGTAGGTGGGTCGGTCGAGGAGAAAAGGACATTGTGGACATTGTGGTCTCTCCTCAGGACTGCTTTTGTAGCATTTGTTCATTGCTTTGGACCAAGGAGGAAATTCTTTGTACCAGAAAGTTTTGTTAGTGATTCAGACAATTGAAGCTGTCCAAATATGGAGTGTATTGAGTAGCATAATACAGTCCAAAAGCCAGTAGAAACCATCAGTATTAGCTCTAAATAAATCTGTTTCTGCTTAATAAAGCTATATTTTTAAATTATTATCATTTTAAAGAACATGACTTTTTCACATCTGTGTGGGCAGCAACCAGTATCTGTCAGCCAGTGATAATTTAGAATGAAATCAATTGGTCCAAAACTAAGTTATTGATGTCAGTTTGAGATATTGTTTGTATCACACTATGCAGCCATGTTTCAAGTAACATAATAGAAAACATGGATGAACTCCAACACAGGCTTGTGCTTGAATAGAAATGAAAATTAAATTGTCCAGTTTTCTCTTGCTGACAGGAGAATCTCTGTTCCAATGGAATGGGAGATTATAGGCTGCAAAGTCAAGTGCCATAACATTTACTGTTATTATGCCATATACTGTAGTTCCTATCACATGGTGGGACTTATTGTTACAGTTCAATGCTACGGAGACTTTCAGTTTCCTGCTAAAGCACATCGCAACAGGCCTCCAGAGCAGCCCGTGAACTAAACCACCTGTTTTCAACTAATTGACTTAGAGAAAGCCCTCTTCATTCCTCCTCATTGGCTTGGTGTCTTTGTTAGAATTGTTGTTTTCTTCCATCCTCTCCAAGTCTCCTCACACTTTTTCCATTCCCGTCTCTATGTGGACACCAACCCCTCTTCACTTGAGGAAGGTGAACATTTCCCCTCCGTTCTTTCAACTTGACCTACAAAGCACACTTCACACTGTAGTCAATTTGGGGGCCAAATGTTGCTCACTTTAAAGTCCAAACAGAAGTGGTTTGGAAAATATGAAGGCTAGCTTCAACTTGTCCTCAGATCTCACATCTGCCTGGGGCCTGTGGTTCATTAGGACCAGAAAATGTAAAAGTACTTCCCTGTGCCCTAGGAATGCCATTAAGAACCAATTGATTTGGGGTGCTGAGAAGGTTCTCAAACTGGGTTGTGGTGATGGTTGTACAACTATGTAAATGTACTAAAAATTATTAACTGGTATACTTAAAATGGGTGAATTTTATGGTACATAAATTATTATCTCAGTAAAACTGTTAAAA